GAGGGTAGAGAGAATGGTGCAGCAATGAAGGAATGAAAACCCAAAATCCCTGTAAATGTTCATTAAAACTAATAAAATGTAATAAATAAATAAATAAATAACCAAAAAAAAGAAAAATTATTCTGGATAGTCTGTGCCTTCTAACGCTTTCTCTGATTCTTTTCCATTTTTTATATATGGAATGATTCACCAATTTGTGTGTTATCCTTGCACAGGGGCAATAGTATCATTACAATTTTAATATATGTGCTGCCAAAGCAAGCACCCTTTCTCATACTCAGTAAATCACAAAATACAGTCAGTATTCTAAGAATACATTTCTTTTATGTTTCTTATATAGGGGAAAACTTTTACCTTACCAGTTGAAAATGTAAGAAAAGCCTTACTTACTAGTTGGATAGAGATCAGTCTCTAGACATTGCCAGAGAGTTGTCAACTCTCTTAAACAATGGCTGAGACATTCTTCAAACCTGGAATAAAATCACCCCCATGGCTCGATTTCCAGACAAACAACAGATAGGTATATAAGGCAGTCCTTAACACTAGACAGGCTTCAAATAAATAGCCACATAAGGTCAAGACAGCAGCATTTCCCCAAGGATAAAGCCATAGAGAAGAAGGTGTACAACAGAAGGATTAATGGAATGAGAATTAAGGGAGGTGGGGGGAAGTAAAGATTATAATTAACGCTATAAAGCAAAATGTGTATAAGTGATTCAATGAAAAATCAATTTGCCTTATAAACTTTCATTCAAATTACAAAAAAAAAACAAAAAAAAATAGAATTAGAAAGCCGAAAACCTTTTACCTTCCCAATAACAGAAGTGGAGTTTTCCTTCTTAACATCATCCATGAGATCTTCCTTTTCATGACTTTGCTGGCTGTCTTCAAGACCAGATGAAGTTATGTATGGCTTGCTGATATCAAATAATTCAGACCGGAAAAAATATTTTTGAACAAGCACGTCACTATTTCCACAATCGTCTGTTTCACACTTAGTGGCTAGGTCAGAAGCAATTGATGTAGCAGTGGGTCCAAAAGAAGACACAGAATCCTTTTGAGATGAACCAAAGTGAGCAGAAGAAATGGACTCATTTTTACTACAGCTAAGTTCATGATGCTGGTGAAGCTCATAGTTGATCTTGTTAATGAATGAAAGATGGTCCAGTAACCACCCAGGTGACAGCTGATGCACCACAGACATTGCACTCCGTATAAAATAACTTTAAGAAATGGGGACTAGAAATAAAATCAAACTTTGTTGATCAACTCTTTATTTCAGGATAGATAGACTTCAAACACACAGGCAAGTTTGATATGCATATTAAAAACTGTATGCATTTAGCAATTATTTAATAGTTCCAAGGAAAAATACAACTTTACAATATGTCAGAAGTGATCATTTAAAATTGTCAACCAAATTAACCAAAAATGGCTAAACCTTGACCTTATTTCTGGAAACTCAATTTGATTCTTCTCTGTTTCTGGAGCCTCCACAATCTCCTGTGTAAGTCCAGAGATCCAGCCACCAATATACAATCTCCAAGTCAAGAAGTCCTTACAAGGTGAAAGTACCCTGTGCAAAGTAAAAAACATGGTATCACGTATGTGAACTCTGTCTCTTCAATGAGAGTCATAGAATGTTATGGAAACTTTCGTTGTTATTGTTGTTGTGTACGATAAAGTCAGAACCAACCCATAGCTACCCTCCAGCAGGTTTTCAGAGGCAGTTAATCACACCAGAGGAGCTCAGCAGGTGGAAAACCCCAAACAACTGCCAGAGTCAGTTCCTACTCACAGTGACCCTCTTGAAGTGTGGGAGCGCCCTGCAGGGGCGGTTGAAAGTCATAAATCTTTACAAAGCAGACTACTATAGCCTTTTCCTTCATGTTAGCAGAATCTCCCTATTTTTATATGTACAGGAGAGGAAGACCCCAGATAAGATGGATTGATTCAGTAACTGGGGCAATGCAGATAGGTGTGTGGTAATTAGTGAGACTGGCTCAGGACAAGGCAGGCTTCAGAGATGCTGTACATAGGGTTGCTATGAGTCACTGGTGACTCAATGGCACATAACAATTAAGTAAATCCATTCTCCACTATCAATGCCCCAGTAAACCATTACTATCAAAGAACTAATGTCTTTGAAATGTAGAGTATATAAGAATATTGAATTTGTTTTTAGATGTCATTGAGTACAATTTATAGTGACCCTATGAATAACAGATCTGATCCCTGTCCTATCCTCTGTCTTTCTCATCAGAGCTGACAAAATCAAGGCCATTACAGTAGTCACTGTGTCAGCACATCCCATTGAGGTTCTTCCTCTCCTTCGCCTTTCCAAGTATGATGTTCCCTCTCTCCAAGAAAGTCCTAACAAGATGGCAAAAGTATGTGAGATAAAGTTCTGTCATTTTTGTCTTGAAGAAGCACTGTGGCTGTATCTTCTCCAAGACACGTCTATTCTTTTGGCAGTCCGCAGGCTACTCAATACTCTTCTCCAATACTACAATTCAAAGGCATCAAATTCTTCTTCTTTCATCCTTACTGTCTAGCTCTCAGACACATAGGAAGTGGTTGGGAAGATCATGACCTGAATTAGGCACACATTAATACGCAAACTGACATTGTTGCTCCTCAATAATTTGGAGAACTTCCCAACTGCAGACTTTTCCAATGCACTACACCTCCTGATCTCCTGACTGCAAGTAACAAGTGTTGATTGTAGATCCAAGTAAAATGAAGTTATTGACAGTTTCAATCTTTACTCCACTTATCATGAAGTTGCCCATCAGTCCACCGGTGAGACTACAAGGCAGCCTTTTATGACTTACGCTCAGGAGGGGCAGATGGGTGGGCAAGAGAATGGATGCAGGGCAAGGCGGCACTTTCTGGATCCAGGTTCCAGCTCAGGATTGTCAACAATTTCATGCTGTTTGGATTCACAATTAGTAAATGATTGGTACTAGCAATCAAGAAATCAAAAGACATGTTACATTCATGAAAATCTGCTATCAAGACCCTCTCCAAGGTGCTAAGAAGCCGTGTCAGTTTAAAGGCTAAGATGCACCTAATTCAAAACACGGTCTTTTCAATTACTTGTTATACATCAGAAAGGTGGACAATTAAGAAGGATAACAGAAGAACCGATGCCTTTGAGCTGTGGTGTGGGGAAAAGAGTACTGAATATCCCATGATCTGCCAAAAGAAAAAGCAAATATGTCTTGGAGAAAGTGCAACCAGAGTGCTTCTTAGAGGCAAGAATGGTAAAATGTTGTCTTACATACTTCGGGCCAGTCCCTGGAAAGACATTATGCTTGGGAAGGTGGAGGGTCAGGAAAAGAGAAGACGACCCTCAACAAGATGGATCCATACAGTGACTTTCACAATGGGCACAAGTATTTCAGAGATGATGGGAATGGCATACAAAGGACAAAGTTCAGATTCTTCAATCACAAGGTCCACTGTGAGCTGTAGCCAAGTCCACAACACTTAACAACAAATTACAACAACAAACAAATAACTTACAAAAATTTCTCTAGAAGAAGTACAGCCGAATTTCTCCCTTGAGGCAAAGATGATGCGACATCCTCTCACACCCTTTGGGCATATGATGGAGAAAGACATTACGCTCAGTAAAGGGTTAAAAGAAAAGGGAAGGCCCTCAATTAGATGGTTGACACAGTGGCTGCACTGAAGGGCTCAAAACAGACACAATTGTGAGGTTCAGGCACGGTTACCCTTTGTTGTGCACATGATCACTATGAGTGGGAGCTGACTTGATAGGCACATACCTAACAAGTCACTAAAAAGAGTAAAAAAGCTTGTAAACTATTGGTGTAGGCAGAGCAACATGTAATTTTTATATCACATCAGAAGCACTACACCCTGGCAAAACTGTCAGATTCTGTATGCAGAGTTTTCATTCTTTTTCAGCAAGTACCCTTTCTGAAACTAGGGAGTGCTGGTGGCCAAGCGCTAAGAAGCTGCACTGCAATTCCGAAGGTGCGTGGTTCCCAAAAGCAGGAGCTGCTCCGCCAGAGAAAGATGGGTACTCCCCTCGTTTGAGATTCACTGGCTCTGAAAATCTTCAGGATGGTCAGCTATGGATCGGTTCCAACTCGAAGTCAGTAAGTGAGCGAGTGACATGAAATGTCATTATATACAGTGCTTAACAAGCACATAGTAGTTACTCAAATAAACTCTCATTTCTATTGGTGATGACAATTCTTGGTATTGGTTCCCACTTCCGTTACTTCTAAATGAAGTACTGTTATGGTTTCTGAGAGCTACAAATTTAGCGAAGAAGGCAGGAACATGATTTATTCAAAACCGTAAGACTAATGAATGGCACAAGTGCTACCTGACCCACGTATCCAAACTCTGGCTCTCAGCTGGTCAGAAAAGTAAGCTCAGAGAAATGACGCGATTACGTCCCTGTGAAAACCCGCCGGAGAGTCAGCTCTGGATCCTTTCCCATTCGCCGGTACACAACAACAATCTCTTGGAAGTAATCTCTTCCGATTCTCTCCTTCACAACCAAGCCCAGCGCTCAGTTCTCCTAAACCACCACTAGAGGCCCTAAGATTTCGCCGGGCTGTCTAAAGTGGAACCTCGAATTCCGGCGGCAACGCAGCCCGCGTGAAGCTCGCAGCCGGCAGCAAGCACATTCATTCAGCAGCCACAACCTCCCACCTCACCTCTCTTTGCTCAGGAAATACACAAAACCTTCGTTAAGAATAGTCTGCATCCCAACAGTAGCCGTGAAGGGGAAAAGGAAAGCCTCCTTTCTAAGAGTCGACGGGCGCTGCCATGTTGCTGTACGGAAAGCGCTGTGCAGGGTGACTGTACGCTCTTCCGGTTCTTCACACACAAAGAGTCCTCAGGTCTTCAGAACTTAAATTGAGGAATAGAACTAAACTTCGTAGGAGATGTCAACTCTGTCTGGGAGCTGCCAGAGGTTCTGGCTCGAGATGGACCACGACACAGGGTTGCGGCGACCGGAAGGCGGCGCAGGAGTATGACGTCTACGCGCTTACGCCGTGCGTGGTGACGTGGCACGGCGGGGATTCTAAAATTTGAAAAGCGCTGGCGGGTAGAGGAAGGACTGGCTTTTCCGCAGCTAGGCTTTTTTTGTTGACAGAATGGGGAGCTCCTGAAATTCAGCCTTTCGGACGTGTCAGAAAGCTGGAAGAAAGGTGACTAATGGATAAGGGATTCATGGTGGTTTGGTTCTGGCCGGTCCGGTGCTGCGGGAGAAAGCCACAGCGCCTGCAACTTAGCGTGCATTGAGAGACGCTGAGCGACTGCTTTGTGGGAGGCCTCGGCACGGCGCTAGTTTTTCAGTCCAGTAAATTGTTATTGGCAGTGAATTCTCAAGGGAGGAGAGGAAGACGTAGGGGGGACAGTGTCCGAGTTCCGCACCTAGAGTGGAGATTGGGATTGGACATCGAGATGACAAAAGTTGAGTGAATGCACAAAGGTATTTTGAAGGAGAAGTAGGCGGCCAAGACCAAGAAAGTGTGCAGTCACTGAACGACTTAAAGAGCCCACATTGATGGAAACCGGCAGAACCGGAGAAAGCTTGGGTGTATGTGTAGCAGCTAATGTTACTTAGAGGCTGCGACAAGAACAAAAGATTTAGCAATCCTACAGATAGCGAGGTGCAGTTGTGGCCTGGGAAGGTAAAAGGCAGGTTGGACTAAGGTTGAGCTAAGGAAGAATACATACAAAAATAAGGGGTCTACAATAGGAGAGGTTGTCGTTAAGAAAAGAATAAATCTACTCAGGTTTGTTGTGGGTTTTGGATTTTTTTTTTAAAGGCATTTTTAGTTGGATGAGAAGTTGAAGTAGTTCTTGTCATGTCGCTTCTGATTATCCATTTGAAATAAGTGCAGCCAACCATAATGGTGTGGCATAGGATTTAGGGCTGCCTAGGAAGGCAGGAATCGCTTTATTCCTTATATCTTTGACATTTTCTAGCACCCTCCCTTGTAGGAGGTTGCGGTTACTAAATGCTTACATATGTTGAATGTTTTCAAATGCAATTAAGTAGGTGGTATTGCCTGTGAGGACTACACAATACTTGGTTGAATACAGATAGCCCCTTAGAAAGATAACTTTAAAGAAAGAATGAAACTTGGCCTAATTTATTTGCTAAGATAATAATTGGTGTTCAGTTTGCCATCTATATATATGTGGAAGAATTCTTAAATATTGATTTCATGAATATAGGTCATAAATATGATGCGCAGTTCTGTTTCAACTGGTGGTGCTGGCCGCCTTTCTATGCAAGAGTTGAGATCCCAGGACCTTAATAGACAAGGCCTCTATACCCCTCAAAAGTAAGTACCTCCACCTGTGGTGCTCACCAACAGACTTTGCCTTGACAAATCAGAAAAATGGTTCATGCACAGATGTCGTTTGGTGGTGTCTCTGTTAATTTTATGTGTGCCCAGTTATACTTCATTTTGCATCAGTGAAAGGTAAAAAGACCTGGTGGTTTGATGGTTAAAGAACTTGATTGTTAAACGAAAGCTCAGAAGTTTGAACCCATCATCCACTCTTTGGGAGAAAGAAGTGGCCGTCTCTTTCCATAAAAATGAGGCAATTCTAACCTACAGGGTCACTGTGGCTCAAAATCGGTGGCAGTGATTAGAAAGATAAAATTGATTTATTAAGTATTGTGATTTGTCATATTTGTGTTTTAAAGTCCCAAAACCACATCTTGTTCATTCATCTTTGCCTAGCAACTCCTAACAACTGTAATTTATATCTGCACTCTTGTTGCCAACCTCTGACTAGTGCGGTGTAGCACACTACTTGTGGGACTCCAAACATGCTGAAATTTTTCCTTTTTTGTTGTAGAGTTGTTTACTAAAGCTGTCAATTTATTAAGGTGTATTCAACTTACAGAGCTCTCAAGCAAAGATAGTATTTGCTCAGAGGATGAGTTGTAGCAGTTTACAGAATCCCACTGTCTCCAATCTGTTTCCTCAAATCATGCTGGAGAAAAGTATCCAAAAGAATAAGCTGTTATAAACTGTACCCACTCCCTCATAATTTTGTTGTAATTAAGAGAAGACACAGCTTTTTATCTCCATATCTACTACCTCTGGCACCAGTAAGACCAGAAAAAAATTGATAGTACTTGGCTACTAATACTAAACGTCTTTGTTATAGACCCAATAGATGTACATGGAGCAGATTTTTCCTAAAAAACTTGAGATTCATGAGGAAACATGCTTAATAAATCCATTGAGACTGAGTCAAACCAAACCTGCCATTCATTTGGTTCCAGCTCATAGACTTTACACTGGGTTTCCAAAACTGCACATCTTTCTTCCTCAGAGCAACAGATAGATTCAAACTGCTAACCTTTAGCAGCCTGATACATTATGCAGGATGCCACTAGGGCACTTTATTGAGACTGAAGTGGTTCCCAATTGTATTGTCCAGAGATAATCTTTAAACCTTGAAACAAACTAAAAAGTTATCATTAAACTAAACAACAATTTGGTTCCGTTACTAAAAGTTTACCTTGAACATTATGCCTTAAAAAGAAATGTCAGTTATTATGTGCCATCAACCCAGAACCAACTCATACTTGAACCTCCAGGATGTTTTCAGAGGCAGTAAATCATAGGAGAGGAAACTGTCCATCTTTCTGCCACAGAGCAGCTGGTGGATTGAAAATGCTTGCCTACTAATTGGTAGCCCTACTCATTCCCCATTAGGACATCACAGCTCAAAGTGACAACAATTAATCTAAACTAGATGAAAACTTAAGGAGCAGAATCTAAATTAATGATGAAACAATATGGGCAGAGTGAGAATGATAACAAAATATGGCAGATTGGTGTATGTTTCATGATATAAATTGACCCAAAAAGAAATGTTTTTTAAAAGTAAAAAGGCTATATGTAAACCATAGCAAAGCTCTGTCAGTCTCTTGGTATTAAGGTGCAACTTACTGTCAGACTGTTCTTAAATTAACTAGACTTACACAAGATGGACCTCTGCTGCTTTTAGAAACTTGAAAAATTAATTTTAAAAAATAACACCAAATTCATTGTCGTTGTGGAGTCAGAATCGATTCATAACTGAACCCCCCAGTGGATTTTCACTGTTTATAAATCATGAAGAAGGAGATTGCCCTCTTTCTCCATGAAAGTAGACGGTAGATTCAAACCACCTGCCTATAGGTTAGCAGTGCAACTCCTTACCCATTAAGCCACCAGAGTTTTTATTTTAATATCTGAACACTATAAAATTTGTTTGTGCTTTGTGCATTATTGACATCAAATTATTTATCCTGTGAATTGAATTAGAAGCAAAAAAATCCAGCATTTTTCATATATTTTACCTGTGGTTTAGATGTTTATTCTAAGTTCAGCGAAATTCTAATAAAGCTCAGATTTTAAATTAATACATATTATTTAAAAAAAGTTATACAAATATGACATTACTAAAAAGATACTTTTGGTGAAGCTATCATGCTGTGATAAAACATATCTATTTTTTTTCTTTTCCCTCAAAGTAGTTATCTGTAAATGCATAAAATAAAATCATAGTGTTGACCTGTTTTCATTCTGCCTTTTTTTCTTAATATTTTAGCATTGGAACTTTTGTGCTGGAAAAGATTTTTTATTATTTTTATAGATAATGAGAAGTATTGGTTTTATATTTCTAAACTTCTTCAACTAATATTTATTTTATAAAGAAATTTTCTCCTTTTCTTAAAGCAAAGAGAAATTTGGAAAATTGAGTTTAAACAGATCCACCTCTGCCACATCTGAAAGAAAAGTCTCTGTGTTTGGAAAAAGGTAATATTATATTTTGAATAGTCTATTGAAATAATTCTTATTGCCATGCATTCATCCAGTTACTCTCATAGTGCCCAAGTACAATATACACACACAGAGAAAGCATAGTTTCTTTCTAAAACAAAACCTACTTTACCTCTTAAATGCTTATCAGTGGTTATATCTATTTCAGATGGTGGATACTAAGGAATATGTTAGTGCATTCAAATTACTATTTCATTATTACAAGTGAGCAGTTGATTGTGTTATTGTTGTTAGGTACATCTGAGTCAGGTACGATTCTTAACAACCATTTGAACAACAGATCTGAACTCTGTCCTGTCCTGTGTCATCTTCACAATTTTTGACATAATTTCTGACTAATTACTGTGTCAGTCCATCAGGTTGAGGATTTTCCTCTCTTTTGCTGTCCCTCCCCCTTCACCAGCATGATGTCCCTCCTAGCAACATGTGCAAAGTATGAGAGATGAAACTTTTATCACCTTTGCCTCCAAGGACGACTCTGGCTGCACCTTCTCTAAGACGTACATCCAAACCCGGCCAAGCCTTAGTTCCAACTTAGAGTGACCCAATGTGTTACAGAGTAGAATGGCTCCAGGGACCGTTCTGTATTGTAATCTTGACTGAAGTGGATTGCTGTGCATGTCTTCTGTGACACAACTGTATGGGTTTATATCACCAAACTAGGTTGTAGCATCCAGCAATGTTTACCATATAAGAAATTAAAACTAAGAAGTTTTTAAAATAGTTAAAATATTCTGTTTAAAAATAATGTGCCAAGTAGTAACAAAAGTTATATTAACATAATGCCTTTAACTTAAAAACATATTTTCAATGAGGATCATTTCCTTTAGAAAAGCTACATTATTCCACATTTCTGCAGATCTCTTTAGTGACTGGCTAATATGAAGATGGCTACAGTCTCACATGCTTTTGCATTCACTTTTGCAGTATCATATGCACATAGCCTCTGGAACACTCCTTTGTACTATCCCCATAGTAGACAGACTATGAAGAAGATAAATAGCATCTTACTCTTCTTATTTAATAATAACATAGTTACCAAATCACTTGATCACATTTTGAGAAGTACTGTTGAAAGTATATCAGATTTCCCTAGGGCAAGGTGTGAAAGAAGCTCTGGCTAAAGTACAAGGATACTTTTTGGGATAATGGAAATATTCTGTTTCTTATTGTGAGAAAGATTGCACTGTCAAAACTCAGTAACTGGGTGCCTTAAGTAGGTCCTTTTTAATATGAGTGATTATCCATCAATAAAATTGATTTAAATGTTTAATCCTAAAATTTTAAAAGTAATCTATGTTCTGTTATCTAATAAAAAAATATAACACTAAGAAGTGTCTTGAAAATATTTAAAGATAAGGTTTTTTTACCTTATTTAATATCTCTGCCACAAAACCAAATTAGACCTGATGTTTCTCATCTTTATTGCAGTTGGTGAAAAATCTTAAGGTAGTTTGTAATGTGACTTCATCCAAGAGCTCAACGTCATTGATAATAATTATGAAGCCTAACATTAAACATTTCTATGCTTCAGGCATAGTTTTTTTGTTTTATTGTTTGTTTGTTTGTTACATTTTTTAAATTTATTATTAATTTCAATGACAATTTACAGAGACTTTGGATTTCCATCAGGCATAGTTTTAAATGCTTCATTTAGATGTTCTCTTTTAATCAATCCTTAGTGCTGTCTCCCAGTGTTATTGAATCCACTTTATAGATAAGGAAAATTGAAGCACAAAGGGGTTAAGTAAGTAATCCACAGTCAACATAGCTAACAAAAGAAGCATTATTTAAAACATATATTCCTTTAAAAAATACTTTTAAGTATAATTTGAATAATCACAGTATTTTGATTTGTCAGATAATCCTCTTATTTTTTAAAAAGATAAGTGGCATTTTATGTAGAATAAGCTAAATTCTATCACATTTCTGTGCATCTCTGTTTAATGGTAAAAAAATATATTAAAGATAATAGTGGTGTATAGAAATGTAGTTCTTAAATTAGAAAATTTGCAAGGAAATAATAGCTACTTAATTAATCAGAATTGTGAGATAAAAGGTCTCAAGCTAAAGAACTGAGCAAGGGAGAACTTAAAAGAAACTTTCAGAGAAGAATGAAATTTTTTTACAAAGTTCAGATATGACAGTGTTCATTATAATGTTTAGCTGTATGGTATCTGATCAATATGGACATTTAGTATGCAGAGGATATTTAATAAGCTATGATGGTTATCTTAACGAGGGCACAAAAAAGTAACAAAAATAAAGCATTATAATTTAAACAAATACAGACTTGTTTTGGTGGGTACAGAGACTTACAATGGAGGAAATACACTAGATTCATTATTAACTGAAAAGTAGAAATTCCAGTCAAATTCACTATAGAGATTGAAGGACCCCCGAACCGCTGGTCCTGTTCTCCCGAGTGGACAGCGAAGACCCAAGACTCCAAGACACCAGCTTGATGCAACAGCAAGAGATAAGAGGTTTATTGCAGAGCTCCCGGCCGACTCTTATCTCTGGCAAGAGACAGAGGAGCCGGCTGAGAGCAGACAAAGTTGGGTTTTTTTATACACTTTAGGGGGATACAACTGAGTATCAGCTTCTCATTGGGTGATGAAAGCACAGTTTGAATTCATTGGTTCAGTGTTCGCTCAGGGTTTACACAGCATTTTTGCACGTAGCACTTGCGGCAGTCACGTAGCACATGTAGCAGTTAGATAGATCTTTAACTATATGGTGGTGTCACAAATTCTTAAGTATACAATGAGTTCAAACTCTAGGGCAGTGGAAAAGCACAAGATACATTGTTATCAGTCGGGAAACAAAGGCACATGGGTTATCAGTTGAGAAACAATCTTTGCTTGTTTGCTCTGCCCTTCTGCTAGCTATTCTTGAAATACTGTTGCCCTGGATACCTGGGTGTGGGGCTTTAAAAATTCTTGAGTTTAGCTTAGCTGAGAACTATAGAAACTTGAGTTTAATTCAGCTGAGAACTATAGGGACTATTTTAATTTCAATCTTTTCAAGATGTTTCTTAACACAAACAGGTTCATGAGAAAAAACATGCACGACCTCTTTGTAACAAAACTGAAAGTCAACTCTTCTACAAGAAGTAATGGTTAATGAAGTGATAAATATGGGGAAAGGATTTTTGTTATTAAATGCATTGCCTAGTTCTTGGTACACAGCATCTGGTAGACGCTACTCAGGCTAAAAGGACTGTTGTTATATAAACCACCAGAAATTTTTCTTTATTCTCATTTCCTTTTATGTGTAAATTACTTAGGTGCTGTATTGTCTTTTCTTCTTCATTTTATGCTCTTTTTCTCTGCTTTTAATGAGAGAATTTTGTTTCATTAACTATAAGTGAAAATATTTCCTTTCGATGTCTAATGTTAATGTTAAAGTATATCATTGCCTTGAAATACTGTTGACTTGACCATAGAAAGAGATCATTTTTATTGATGTTTTTAAAATGTATTTCCAGGACCAGTGGACCTGGATCCCGGAATAGTCAGTTGGGCATATTTTCCACTTCTGAAAAAATCAAGGATCCAAGACCACTTAATGACAAAACATTCATTCAACAATGTATTCGACAACTCTGTGAGGTATTTGATAATTCTGAGTACTCTAAATTGTGAATATTTACTTAGTTATTTCTTGGTAATTTTTTTGTTATAAAGAAATAGACATTTCATAAAGATTATTGTAGTTTCTTACAGAAAATGGTTATGCATACAGTATATCCATGAAGTCTCTACAAGCCCCATCTGTTAAAGATTTCCTGAAGATCTTCACTTTTCTGTATAGCTTCCTGTGCCCTTCGTATGAGCTTCCTGATACAAAGTTTGAAGAAGAGGTGCCAAGAATCTTTAAGGATCTTGGGTTTGTATGTTAAAGTTCTTGGCCGACGGGGATTATTAGAACACAGAAAAATCAAATTAAGTAAATGTGTAAGACTTTGAGCTAGCAAATATAATGTGTTAAGGTGGTCACTTAGGGTACAATATGTAAATTAATTAAACATTAAACCAAAAATCCATAATCCCAAGACCATCCAGGTGATATTGACTCAAAGCAGCCCTGTACAACAGAGCGGAACTTCCCTGCAGTATCTCTAAGGCTATAAGTCTTTACAGATGCTAAATTTTGAGATTATCTGACAGAAAAAGATTGCCTATCTTTCTCCCTTGGAACCACTGATGGATTTGAACCACCAGAGAGGTAGTTAAATATTCAACTATCTGCAGGTAGGTATAGACCTGCTGGTGATGGAAGACCCTGAACTGCTTAGATTACCAGAGGAATAGAAAAGATGGGCTACATACCAGAAATTTTGTGGTAGTAGAAAATACAGGATTGAAGGCCTAGTGAAAATAGGGTCATGTGAAATAAAAAGGGGCTTTAAAGACTTTACCCTGATTTATAGAGTCGGCTATGGATAAAAGTCAAGGAGGGAAATGTCTTGAGGGATGAAAACCATGTAACTGCCATGTACTTAATTCAGAATACATTAAACTTGAAGGAACAAAACTGTTAGTGGAGATGTTTCAAATATTTTTTTATTAATCACGTTCTGCAGTTTAAGTGCTAGATATCCAGTGTTACCTCCAGAGAAGATACCAAAGAATAAACAGTCATCAGAGTAAGATTAGTAAGGACAGAATCTTCACAAATAACCTATTTCTAAATAAGATTGTGAATGTATATGCTAAAGTTTTGGCATCTTACTTAACCTTGTTTTTCAATTTTTTATAGGTATCCTTTTGCATTGTCCAAGAGCTCCATGTATACGGTGGGAGCCCCTCACACATGGCCTCACATTGTGGCAGCATTGGTTTGGCTAATAGACTGCATCAAGGTATTTGATTTGTCATTTAAAATGATAGTTTTAGGAGAAAGTTTCTTTCTCAGAAAGCTGCATGTTTTATTTCCCCTGTCCTGTTTTCTTAAAGTCTGTTTCAGGATTTTATGTTTTCAAAGTATCTTAAACTTGAAGTTTTTCAAGACCCATCATACCATCAGTGAGGGGAAGAAAGTATACACATTGGCAAGATGATCATTTTTTACCATGAAATTTTCCAACTTGAGTGTTTTTTTGGCATGGCATTCATTAGAGCTTTTATTTTGAGTTTTCTTCCTTCTAATTAAAATTTATATTCATTGCAAAAAGTAACCAACTCATAGTCAACTCTCCAGTGGGTGTCAAAGACTGTAAATCACACAGAATATTGCCCGTCTTTCTCATACAGAGCAGCTGGTGAATTCTAACCACCAAAGAGACATGACCTTTGGGTTAGTAGGCAACTCCCTATGGACTAGGCCACCAAAGCTCCCTAAAATGCTTGTTTAAGTTTGGTAATCTCGCTCCTCACACCTTTAATGATTCTGGTCACTTCTACCTTTGTTTACCTATGCCATTCACATCATTGTATATGTTTTGGAGATAGCATTTCCACAGTGATACGGGAGCTTGGGGAAGAGATGTTGTGGCTTCTGTTAGAAAAAGACCTTTTCTGTGAATTGACATCCTTTCCTGGCTATCTTGGTTTGCTCAAGGTTGTTTGCTGAACATTGTAACAACATAAGAAACCAAAAATACGGTTTCCTGTTTTATCTTTCCTACTTAATATCATCCTGGATATTTAGCAACATGTAGGAAGGGGGAAATCCCCCCTCCATTTTCTCTTTCTACTTTAAGAGGGGAAAAGCCTTAACTTCGCAAACAACAAATGTTGGTGAGGTTGTGGAGGAACTGGAACCCTTATTCACTGTTGGTGGGAGTGTAAAATGGTGCAACCACTATGGAAGGCAAAATGGTGCTTTCTCAAAAAGTTGAAAATAGAAATAACCATTTGACCCAGTAATTCCACTACTGGGAATATACCCTAAAGACACCAGAACTGCCACCCAAGTAGATATATGCAGACCCATATTTATTGCTGCTTTGTTCACAATAGCAAAGAGTTGGAAATAACCCAAGTGCCCATCAACAAACAAATGTATAGAGAAGCTGTGGTATATTCGCATAATGGAATATTATGCACCACTGAAAAACAGAATTCATGAACTGTTATATAAAATGGGTGACCATGGAGGACATCACGCTGCATGATATACCTCAGTCTCAAAAAGACAAATACTGCATAGTGCCATTGTTATAGAACAGGACTGATATGGGAGTTAGGGGAAAACTAAGAAAAGAGGAGATAAATAATGTACACAGCATTGAAACAGACTAGAGAACTATGACAAGAGTCCAGAATAAGAGCTGCATAGTAAAGGGGGGAGGTGCTATATAACAATGAAAGGACTTCTAAAGAAAAAAGCAAACTGGCGAGGGAGGAAAATATGTAACAGTAAATGAATGGAAATCCAAGTTCTTTATAAATTTTCATTAAAATCTCAAAAAAAAAAGATGCATTCAATACCATTTTTTAAACAAACCATTCTTTCCGCTCACTTTTGAATTGTTACCGCTGTCTTCTATTCTTGCATTATGACAATTCTAATGCTATAACTTTACAATAGTTTTTTATTTAATAGTTGTTACATGCTATTAATTCAGAACCAACTTATGGCTGGCCCTCTAGCAGGTTTTCAGAAGCTGTCAATCACATGAGAGGAGTTTGCCTGTCTTTCTCCCACAGAGTAGCTGCCATTGTTTTAGCAGTACAACTCCACCCAAATTTAGTAGAGTGAAAATTTGCAAACCATATAGGATTTTCATTTGTTCTTTCATGCATATTTTGTTTTATAACATTAAATACAACTAATTAATTACAATGTCTGATCAAAATGTATATTGCCTTTCTCTTCACTCAGTTTATCTATGAATTTTTACTCCTCCCTTCATTGTGTCTCCTTGCTGGTAACATCCAAGAATGGTTCTGTCTCTCTAGAAACCTTTCCTTAACTTTATGTAATAGAGGTCTTTTACCTTTTGTGACCTACTTATTTAGTTTAGCTTAATTTCCTCTAGATAGATCTGTGTTACACAGTGTGACACAAATTCTTCACTCATTCTTACTCTTTATTCATTTTTAGCATTTCATAGAACTCTATTGTGTGAATGTATCCATACAGTATGTGACTGTATCTTTATTCATTTGTCCATTAGTGAACACTGAATTCTTCCTACATCTCTATTATAAATAATGCTATTATGAACATAGGTGTGCCTGTATCTCTTGTGTAACAACTTATTTATCTGGGATATAAACCTAATTTGCTGGATCAAATTATTATTTCTGTTCCCAATTTTCTGAGTAAACACAAAACTGCTTTCCATAATGTAATGACTACACCATTTTACATTTCCACCAACAATGTCTGAGAATTCTAATCTCACCCCACCTTTGCTTGCATTTGTTTGATGTCTTATTTAACTTTGCTGTTATTGCTGGGGTGAGATGATAGCTCTTTGTTTCAATCTGCTGTTCTTAGGATCACTAAGAATTGCCATTGAGTCAGAAGCACCTAACAACAATAGCTAATGATCTTGAGTAGAGGAATTTTTTGTGTTTCCTAATTTTCCTCAAATCTTCAATCTATATTCTTTTTAGCAGATTCTAAAAGTTACTTTGTGAATTTATTTGCTTCTAGATATTACATTGGATTCATACATTTCTTGGGGAAAGATTGCTATCTATATAATATTCAGACTTCTTATTTGGGAAAGTAATAAATATTTATTCACGAATCTCTTGTTCTCTTCAGTAAAATACAGCTTTCTTCCAGTTGGGCTGCATAGTTTCTATTACACTGGTTCCCAGTAAGAATAGCCTTTTTTTTGTTTTTAATTGAAGTTCCTAAAATTACTGTTAAAAGAGTCTTTATGGCCCTAGTTGGATTATTTTATTGCTACTGTTCATGGTTGATTTTTATTACCAGGGTTTTCAAATGGGATATTTTCTGCTTTATCAACTTAGTTGTCATGTATTCAGCAAGAGAACAATGTTTTTCCTATTGAAATTTTACTTGCCTACTTCTAATTTTTAACAGGAATAATCACTGAAGCTTATCATACAATTAACAATTCTATTTTGGGATCTCTCCTGGAGTAGTCCATAGAGAATTGCACTGTTAATACAAAGGCCGAGTCTCTAGCAATTCGGATCCAGCAGCACTCTGAATTTTTTTTTTCTATAGTGCATCATCTCTAGTCACTTTTAAGCTTTAAATAAGAGCATAGGGGATTTCTAGGACATTTTATATAATAAAATTTTATTTAAATTTACACATACTGGAAAAAAGTCAGTTGGTAAAACTTGAGCCCAAAATTTAGTTCATAAGAGAAATAATCATTATTGGTTTACCCCTTATGTGGCAATGTTGTTTTATATTTTGTTAGAATTATATTAAAATATGTTTATATGCTCTGTATGAGTTAAGAGCAGCCTAAAGATCAGTATATCTCTTTTTTTGTAAATAATCCATAACTATACAGGATTCATTTCTTAAAATATTAAAACATACATATTAATTAAGACTTATAATTTTCAGAAATTTTAATCATGCAATAATATGTTTATGAAAATAACATGAAAAACAAATTTGATAAAACAAGAAAGCTGTATGGCTTAGAGCTAAAGACAACTCTGTTTATTATTTGTATGCAAATTAGTTATACACTGCCATGAAAGAGAGTTCACCTTCATTTGATGATGGACATCCTTGGGGAGAGGAAACTGAAGATGGAATTATGCATAATAAGGTATCAAACTTTATGATATAATAGTTGTCTTAATATTAAATAGCCCAGTGTGTTTCTAGTAATATACATCCTTTTGTAGCTTCCTCGAAAACTACTGCAGTTTCTTTTTACAAATTTTACTCACTCGTCTACTGTAAAAGTCACATATGGCTTCCTAAGTAATTGGAAACAGGGCTCTGAAAATGTTAGCTCAGTGAAAAAACCAGATTGGTTTATATCCTGACAAGCTAATGTTGATATGTTGATGTTCTAGATAAGGACATTTTTTTTTTCTCCCCTATCTTTTAGAATGAAAATTTCAATACTAACAATATTATTTTAATATTATTCTGTCAATATAAAAAGATAATAGATTAGGTCTTTAAATACTGCATGTGGTTTTTTGCTTGTTTTTTGTGGTCATTTTAGTTAGGCGTAGTGCCACTGAGACCTGTGGTTCCACTTCCTTAAGTGGGCAAGGCAGTCTGAACTGGTTACCACCACAAACTTTTTGAAATCTAAACTGTGTAGAAAGCCTCACCCTACTTCTTGAAGAACTCTAAAAATGAAGTGTGTGTATGAAATAGTTTTGCTGTAAGTCTCTAGTGCATGTATCACAAAGACAAATTTAAATAACTTCACCTTCATGTTTTATTACTGCCTGCCTGGAAACTAGTTCAGAGATGTGCCAACTGACTTTGTTTTTGTCTTTAAGTACAAAGAATAACATGCCCTTTACCACTTCAGGAATTATTCCTGCTAGAGACACTACTAAAAAGCCTTTGATCCTACTCTTGCGAGAACCTCCCACATTACAATGAGTATACTGGACTAAATTTAATTACTACTAAGTTTCATCCAAAAACTCAATTAACTTTCAAAACATAAAGACTATACCAATGAACTGTTCAGCTACTTTAGCTATTACTTAAGCTTCGCTTACCATTTATGATACATTCTGTGAAAAAAATGTTCTATGATTTAGAAATTGAACATACCATGTTAAAATGTGTTGGAGCCCACTTCTGATTGTCCTTGTTGCCACTGCCATTGCTGCTAGAGCTTCTGGCAGAGACTAAAAGAATGGGAACTGGCACCAGCAATAGCAATAGTGAGAAGTGAGCAGAGAGGAAGTGGAGTAAGCATAAGTTCAAGAGACTGCACTCAGCCCTTACCTGCCTGTACCCACTAAGGTTCAGAGCAGCAAGAGTCTGGGTGTAGGATCTTTGAAATCATTGGAGGAGAGCATTTTTCCCTTTAAAAAGAAAAAAATAAGAAGCCATAGTTACATAGGCAATCAGATGTTACCTAAGAGCAATACCTACCTGTATTTTAAATAACATGTAAAAAAAGCATTTTGACAACTATAAAGTGCTGCTTTCAATTGAAAGGAGTTATCAGAGTATCCAATTTCACTGGAGTAAGATTTAATCCTCCATTTTATAGGTCCAAAACCTCAACAAACTTAGTGAAGCTGATCCACTCTTAGAAAAATCACCTGGGATTTATCTGTGAAGTAGACAAGTTAAATTCATTTACCATGAGTGATACGCCTTCCTAATAACAGGAATATTAAAAATGCCTGTTTAAGCTATTGCTCTATATTAGCCAAACAATGAGAAGGTTGCTAAGGAGAGAACCTGTGCAAAGGGAGTTAATTACATCTTTAGGGATATTTACTTCCAGGCTATGGAAAATTCTGATCAGCTTTCCTTGCCGCTAAATGAATTATGTATCCCCAGTGACTAAAACATCCATATCTACAAAGGTAGTTTATTCAGATAAATTCTAATATTTAGATCTCCATGTCCGTGTCACTTTTTAGGCTGAAGTTACAATATAATTAATTGACAGTCTTGATTGATTTTATTCTGGCTTTAATGACTACATTTTTTTCAATTAAATTGGACTTATATGGTCAACAATTCACTTACATTTTTCTCAGTGTGTATTATTCCTTAAAATTATCAACTTTGTATACTTTGTGTTTAATTATACTTTTATTGTGATTTTAAAGTTTACTGAAACATTGAGTTTTCAATTCACTGTTGCACATTTTATCTCCCTTCCCCTCCAATCCAATATTTCTTAATAAGCTTCTTTAAGTTTCCCAAAATTCTACTTGTCTCCTATGTGTGATAATTACTCAGATTTAAGTGTTATTTTCATCCTCCTTAGTCATATTCAAGGTATTGAGGGACTGTGAGAGTCTATACTGTGTGGGAAGTGTTATACCCTAGATTTATAGTTTTTTATTTATTTATAATTGCTTAGTATTATAAGTTAGTGTTTGATGTTTGCTTTCACATGTGAAAACAAAACAAACTAAATGGAGAAACCATGACATTGTTTATAAAATCTGTTTGGTCTTGTTAGTTGTTTTTAGAGTATACCATCAAATGCTACGAGGGCTTCATGTCTGGCGTTGACAGCTATGTTGAGATTAATGCAGAATTGCAGTCAAAGTTGAGTAAGTGTTCTTTTTTTCTTAACATGTTTGTTTTGGTTATTTAGACTAATTCTTCCTTCAGAGCTTCTGGTTGTCTTAACCTAGAATGTATTTATAGACCCATTCCCTTAAATGCATCTTGATCTTCCTTGGCTTTTTGTGTAGAGAGAAGTAAGTGGAATGAATGTTGAAGTACTACCTCTTACTAGCTATGTGGCATTAACAAGATACTTAACCTGGCTAACAGTTTTAAAGGATTATATGAAATTATATATATTATATGGACGTCACCCAGCTAATCTGGTGGGATGGCTAGCATCTCCATGACAGCTCCTCTTGGTGGCAGTCAAGCAAGGGAAGTTTCTGGGGTCTTTTTCATTGTGTTACTGTTCTTTTTGGCCTTTGGAGGTGGATGGGTAGCCCTGACCCTTAGAGTAAGGGTAAGTAGGGTGGGATCGAGCCTGTGGAGCCTGCTCCAGGTGCTAGCTTAAAATCCTATTGGTCCAGCCTTTAATTGTTTTTGGTGAAACATTCTTGTAAGTCATGTAACCCTGGTATGTCCACTTGCTGTACAGAGGTGACTTGTGGTTGCTGTGAAGCCGAACACTGACACTGATGAGTCAAATGCAAGAATGGTTACCCATGGTAGACAGTGTTTGGTGAAGCTCCCCAATTAAAACAAGCTTGGAAGCAGGAGTGGCATCTAATTCCATAATATCTTGCCTCCGAACCCTGTGAACCTGGAGAAAGGAAGAAAGTTATACAGGTGTCCTGGACTTTCATTCATAGGGTCACTATGAGTCACCTACCACTTGACCACACTTAACAACAACAACATATGTAAAATACTAAGAGTTGATCAGGTGCACAAAAGATAATGAGCAAGAGTTATTCCTCCTGAAAAGAGTATCCTTATGATAGCCTTGCTTTATTGTTAATTTGTAGCCGAAAATTATTAATCCAAATAAGAAAATTCTTAATTGCATTCAACTTCATTTCATTCATAAGTAAGTGGTATTACAATACCTTATACCACTTATTAATGAATCCAAATAAGAAAATTCTTTGTTTCACTCAACTATAATTAAGTAGCATAATAATCCCACTTGTTTAACAGCTAACTCTAAAATGTTCCAGAATTATTATTTTGCATTATTATTCTTTCTGCTACATTAGCCTTGTGAATAAAATGGCAGTATGACAGATAGAGACAAAACAGAAGAGTATCATCCTATTACTATAAGCACAAAAAGTGAAAGCTTTCTTTCCTGTCTTCTGTTCTCCCTTCTCTTTACGGGAATTGTGCCTTCCCCTTACATACATAGGAAGGAGAATAAGGAATGATGGGATATTTTGTTTCTGAAAGAAAATATTTGTAATAGCTCTAATACAAAAAGTATCCAGTGAGTTATTTTGTATTACTATCTGCAATTAATTAAGCATATAAATTGTACTCATTGTACAATGTGCTAACCACCATGTAGTCAATGGGAATACACTTATGAGCGAAACATAAAAATCTGCTCTATCATTTACAGTCTAATAGAACAGTACTCAGATGAGCACTAAGTCAAATGGTGATAGAGTTGGGGAAAAATAAAGCAGAATAAGAGGGATAGTGAGGGGAATAAAGGAAAGAATGGGGAGTTTTACAGAAGGTAGAATATAAGGAAATGAGAGCATAAGCTATGGTGAAACCCTGGGGAAGAGTGTTGTAGGCACATTTGAGATCTTACAATAAAGTGTTTTTCTTTTTTTCCTCCAGAGGATATATTTAATGTAGATGCTTCAAAGTTGGAATTATTAGCAGCAAAAAACAAAGCACTGACTGAGCAGATAGCAAGATTGGAAAAAGACAGAGAAAAAGAACCGGTTAGTAAACATATTGTCTTCAACAGATGTATATACATATAAGATCACTTACATTTTCAGATTTCCTCCAAGAATAATAAGGTTTTTCTTCCCCACTTTTTAATTCTTAAAGTTTAAATTTTTTTACATAGGACAGAACTCCCAATGAACCCATGTTTTGTAATTGTAGAGCTTTTTGTTTTTTTCCCTTGTGGTTTATCAGTCTTAGTTTAATGGTGCTCAGAATATGATGAAACATTCTTACCTCTTTGCATAAGACCAAAAGAATCTTTTATACAAGGTCTCTATGTTATATACCTTCAGGGAATACTGTTCACAGGAGATCTTGAGCTATGTAGTTAGTGAAAAAATAATAATAATAAATTAGTTTCTGTAATACATGGTGTCCTGAGAGCTTTCTAAAAGCTAAATAACAGTTTTCATTTCTGTGGTGTGTCACTGAAGCAATCCGACTGTTCTGTAAAATATCAGATTCAAAATGTTTGTGCTTTTCTACTCTGACCTTTGATTTTAGTCCCTTTGATTCTTTTGACTCATTCTAAAAGTGTGAAGAAAATTTTAATTTACTTTTCTCCAAGATGAATCTAATGCTTAACTTTCAAATAAAATAAGGAATGATTCTTGATAAGACCAATTTCATATTTTGTCTTAAAAGAGTCGTCTAGAGTCATTGAGAAAACTCAAAGCTTCTTTACAAGTGGATGTTCAAAAATACCAGGCATACATGAGCAATCTGGAGTCTCATTCAGCCATCCTTGACCAAAAATTGAAGAGTCTTGATGAAGATATTGCTAGACTAGGTAAGGATACACGTAATGCTAAAAGTTCTCTCAGACTGGAAAATGATGCATGTGGGAACTGTCACATATAGAGATAGCTCTGTCATCTATATCATCTTTCCTTCAGGATCTTTTGTGCTGTCCTAGAAAACTATGGTTTATGTATCAAAGTACCACCAATGTAATTCTTTAAAACAACGTAAATGTACTCACTCATTTCTGGAAGCTTTTGTTGTTATGTGCTTTTGAGACAAACATGCCTCATAGCGACTTTATGAACAACAAAATCCTTTACCATCTTCATCATCTTCGTCATGCTTAAGTCCATTGTTGAAGTCACTGTGTCAGTCCATCTAGTTGAGGGTCCATGGTGTATTCAATGCTCTTCAGCAGCACCACAATTCAAAGACAGCAATTCTTCTGTCTTCTTCATTCGTTGTCCAACTTTCAGATGTGTGTCATCTTTATTATTGTCCAGCTTTCAGGTGCATATAAAGCAATTGAAATAACCATGGACTGGATCAGGTATATCATAATCTTTAAATGACTACATCAGTACATTAGCAAGGAACTACCAGAAATCCAAGCCATATTCAGAAGAGATTCTGACAGATGCCGTTGGTAATGTTCAATGCTCTTGGCTAAAAGTAGAGAATACCAGAAAGATGTTTACCTATGTCTTACTATGCCATGGTATTCATCTGTGTGGATAACAACTTATGGATAACATTAGAAAGATTGAGAAACCCAGAACATGTAATCACTCCCATGGGTAAACTGTATAGTCTGAGGCCATTCATACCTACAGGATGTTACTGTGTGCTCCAAATCAGGAATGATGTACATCAGAGTTGTAGCCTTTCCCCATACTTACTCAGCCTGTACATTTAGCTAATAATCTGAGAAGGTGGTTATATATGAAGTGTCAGATTTGGACAAAACCAGCATGAGATAGGTACATTGCATAGCCTTGCTTCTGAAAAATGGAAAGCACTTAAAACATTGAGAAATAAAGATCCAAAAAGATAGCCTTCAGTATGTATTGGACCTCAACGTTAAACAAAATTCTATACAATTGGACCAACAAACAACATTATTTACAGTGAATTCAATATAACTCTTCCAGCCATAGCCTTCCACTTTGTGATTCTAGCCTATCTGTCTGTGCTTAAGACCTCGTTCTGGAGTAAGATATTTTGCCATGTTCATTAGGATGAGATGCATCTTGAAAGCCCCACCCTATTAGACCATATGGCTAAGGTCAATGCCCTTAGTTCTCTGGGAGGTGTGGTTTATAGCGCTGAGATCTGATAGAGGGCAGCCTCCTGAGAGATTGTCCTTGTTGCCCTGGACACTGCAAGTAACCTGATGCAGCCTACAGGCACCTAGCCCATCAGTCACCAACCTCTGCGGCCATGCACATCACCTACACCATCTACAACTGCAGCCACCAACTGCATCTACAGCCATTCCTCAGTGTGGTGTTTTGTTTTTACTTTCTGTCAAAGTTCATAGGGGCTTGCTTGCACTGCTAAGCCAAAGGCAGTGCTTCTCTCCCAATTTGAAACCACCAGCAACCCCACAGGAGAAAGATAGGCAATCCCCCATACAATTTACAGCCACCGAAAACCCACCGAAGGGCCCATTATGAGTCCATCTCAACTTGACAGCAGTGAGTTGAGTTTGTAAGACCTTACAGTGAACTCAGAGACATAAAGGGATAGGGCTGACAAAAGGAGAAGTAATTTATATCAGAGACGAAGGATTTCATTTCACATGAACACCCACAGAAGGAACAGTCAAGAAATCAAATGGTTGTGGCATTCCACTGTGGTAAAGCAACTGTCACAAACAAACTCCTCTTTCTTAGTAAGAAAGAAGTTGACATGTATGTGACAGAACGTCCATGAGGATGCTTCACTTCAAACCAACCAATGTGTTTACACTACAGTGACAAATGGGCTGTTTTAAAAGAATATTTTCTTCCTTTTTAAGAACCTGCACTAGTTGCCAAGTCATCAGTCTTAATAGACGTGAAGCCGTGGGATGATGAAACTGACATGGCAAAACTGGAAGAGTGTGTCCACAGTATTCAGGCAGATGGCTTGGTCTGGGGCTCTTCCAAGCTACTACCTGTGGGATATGGTATTAAGAAGCTTCAGATACAGTGTGTAGTTGAAGATGATAAAGTTGGCCCAGATATGCTGGAAAAACAAATAATTGCTCTTGAAGACTATGTGCAGTCCATGGACGTGGCTGCTTTCAACAAAATTACAGTCCTGCTTCCAACAATAAAAACTTAAAAAAGAAAAACGGTGTATTGTTTTGGGGAAATTTGTGAAAAGACCTTTAAATTTTAAAAGCGGAGATGTCATTTTGAAAACAATGGTGATCTCTCCCTAAGCTATGATGTTTTCAGTCACCTAAGTGTGTGAAAATTGGATGAAGAGGAAAAACGATCAAAAAAGAACTTGAGTCTTTGAATTAGAATGTTGGTGCAAGAACAAATGAAGGTAAAGACCGTAAATGAGGTAAATTGACATAGCAACTGTAACATTGGGCACAGCAGAGATTGTGAGGATGTCACAGGATGAGGCAGGGTTTTGTACATAGGGATTTGGTGCTTGACAGCAGCTACAGCAATTCAATCCATGATGGAAAGTTTACCCTAATTTTTTTTATTACTACAAGGATTACAATACAATTAAGTCAGTACTTGCTAATACTACTATTTTATCTTCCTACTGATACTTAGCCCAGAGTGTTAACTTATTTCCTACTTGGTCTTATGAAGATTTTTAAAATAGTTCCACCTTTCTATGAAAATGGCGCCAAAAGCGAAGAAGAATCCCCTGCCCCTCCCAAAATTGAAGCCAAAGCAAGGGCTTAAAAGCCAAAAAGGCAGCCCTAAAGGGCATCCACAGCCACAAAAAAAAAAGAAGATCCGCACGTCACCCACCTTCTGGTGGCCTGAGACACTGAGACTCCAAAGGCCTCCAGAAGAGCACACCTAGGAGAAACAGGCTTGACCACTATGCCATCTTCAAGTTTCCCCTGACCACTGAGTCAGCCATGAAGAAGATAGACAATAACAGCACACGTGTGTTCATTGTGGATGTCAAGGCTAACAAGCACCAAATCAAACAAGCTATAAAGAAGCTCTGTGACATTGATGTGGCTAAGGTCAACACCCTAATTAAGCCTGATGGAGAGAAGAAGGCCTATGTGGGACTTGCTCCTGAGTGATGCTTTGGATATTGCCAAAAAAATGGGGATCTAAACTGAGTCCAGCTGGCAAATTCTACATACAAATTTCTCTCACCATTGAAAAATACTTCCTCAGTAAAACTAGAGTGTTTTGCTTTGAGGCATTCGATAGCTACCAACCTGAAGTGTTTTCATTCCATATGTGTTTTTCCCTTTTGTGATTATTTAAAGCCATTATGTACGAGAAAACAAACAGATTCATCCTAGAGAGGGCTAAACCAGGCTACTCCTTGGAGGCAAAGATTCTAGGGCTTCGTCTGACATACTTTGGACATATTGCAAGGAGAGACAGGTCTTTGGAGAGGGACATCATTCTGGGTAGAGAGACAGCACAGGAGGGGAAGACCCTCTATGAGGTGGATTGATTCAGTGACTGGGGTAATCAGGATGGGTGTGTCAGAGGCAATGCGATTGGCACAGGATAGAGCAGGGTTTAGGGCTGTTGTACATAGGGTTGCTATGAGTCGCAAGGGACTCGACGGCACATAACAACATGTTCAAGAATGAAGGATACCTATGTATACTCTGTCAATGCTATCTACTTAATGCAGATTCCTGTAATAAATACAAAAATTACTTAAGCCAACTATTCATTTTCTATGAGCTCTAACTTTGAGGTTCTCAACTATTCTTGCAAAAGTAGTTAGACCTGAGCCAAGAGATAAATTTCTTTAGAATGATTGTCTTAACCCCTTTGGTCATGAGAATCCTCATCCATTTATGCCAATCTGCTCTAAAAATACTGTCATCTACCTAAACCATGAGTCATGGAAGATTGTGAAACACTGCTCTGTATAACCACATATATTTTAATTTTGGTCATTATTCCCCTTTACAAATATTTGGCTAATGTTTCATATGAACTAAAACTGACTGCCAAGGAGGAAGGAACAACATATGGCTGAGCCTCTGTTGGTTCCCAAGACTGTAACATTACACAAGTGGAGATCTCTGGTCTTTCTCTCATGGAGCCACAGGTGGATTCGAACTGCCGGCGAGGTTCAGCCTTTGGGTTAGTGAAGCTCCTGTTGGCTGGGTCACAAGCCCTCTGTTGTAACAGTATGTCAATACTTTTGTTTTTCTTGGCTTAAACAATAAATTGTAAGACATTTTTGCTTCCTTTACAAGATTCCTAAGTACTTGTACTTTTCAGTGCCATCTTGTTTACAACAGTGTCCTCATTTTGCAAAATGCCACAAAAAAAGTTAAGAGATCCTTCATAACCCAGAGAGGCAGCCTAAGCCCTGCAGACAGGAAATGTGGAGTTTTGGTTTGGGGGTTTGGTTTTTTTCCCCCTGAACAGCATTACATACCAAAAGAACTACTTTTCAGCAGAATCATCATTGTTTGGTTATCCCATATTTTTCTTGGTATAATCAAATACTTCATGACAATTGTTATGTAGACAAAGCAAAAGCCTAACTACAATAGTTATTTTCTATCTCATGAAACCACCAAAAAGTATCAGTAAAATAATAGTAAACTGTAAATACTTCTTCATTTGTGAAAAAGAAATGTGTGGTTCGTCTGGTTTATTACTGAGAATTGTGTAGGAGTATTACAAGCATTTCAAGTGAAGCATTAAGAGAAGATAAGCAATCCCTCTCAAGTGTTAGGATTCTTAATAGTAATCAATCAATGTGCTTGAGGCCACGGCATTTTTTTCATGTGTTACTTTCTAAAATTCAGAAACATGAAATTCAGGGAAATGAAAGCTTAAGCTTTATGTGTATCTTTCAAGAATATTTCTAACAAAATGAGATCAAACATTTCTTTTATAAAGAAAGAAGTAAGGAGAAGATAGACATGCTTATAACTCAGTAAATTGGCAATGCTGGTGAATGCTAAGAGAGCTCTGGCGCCTTAGGTGTAAGCAGTTGACCTGCGAAACCAAAGGCAGGAAGTTCAAATCCTCTAGCTGCTCTGAGGGAGAAACATGAGCATTCTCCCCTATGTGATTTACATCCTGTGAAACCAGGTTGGAGGGTCAGCTGGGAGTTGATTCTGACTCTATAGGAGTGAGTTGGAGTTGTAAGCTAGTGCTATAGGAAACTGGTGGCATGGTCTCTGGTGGTTTGAATCGCCAAGTGGCTCCAAGGGAAAGAGATTGAGGCAGGCTCCTTCCATGCTGCTTACAGCCTTGGAAACCAAGTGGGCAGTCAACTGTGAGTCACTTCCAACTGTATTTTTGGTGAAACATTCTTTTAGGTCATATAACCCTGATATGTCCACTTACTGTACAGAGGTAACTCGTATTGCTGTGAAGCTAAACACTGTGACACTGATGAGTCAAATGTGAGAATGGTTACCCATGGTAGACAGTGTTTGGTGGAGCTCCCCGATTAAAACAAGCTTGGAAGCAGGAGTGGCATCAACTTCCGTAATGAACCTGGAGAAAGGACAAAAGTTATGCAGGTGTCCAGGTCTTTCGTTCATAGGGTCGCTGTGAGTCGCCTAGGCTCGATGGCACTTAACAACCACAACTATTACATAATGTCATCCATGTCTTTGTAGGAGTTGAAGAAACTTAACAGCTTTTCTCTCATTGCAGAACTAGAATGTGAAACAATAAAACGGGAGAATATGCACCTACAGAATACTGTTGATAACCAGAAATACTCAGTTGCAGACATTGAGAGAATAAATCATGAAAGAAATGAATTGCAGCAAACCATTAATAAATTAACCAGAGACCTGCAGGATGAACAACAGCAGTTGTGGAATGAGGAGCTCAAATACGCCAGAGGCAAAGAGACGGTATGTCAGGCCCTTCCCAATGCAGCAACCCTTGACAGCTGATCTCACTCAAGAGCTTAGTGGGCATAGGGGTAGAATTTTTTAGCACTGACTGAAATACAGTCATTGCTTTGTATAAATTCAGTGACATCCTAATTTCCTGTATTGATAAGCAGCCTATACTTTCTAATAGTAAAGTAGAAAATAAGCCTACAAAGTCTAAACCTTTGAAACAATTTTCAAAATTTTGTACCTTTTACCCTCTAGAACAGGAAGAATCACATCTTCATTACCTATTCAGTACTCATTTCTTTCTTTAATATCTACTAGTCAGTACAAATTGCATCTCAACATAAAAGAGAACAAAAATCCTCACCATTGGGCCAATTGACAGCATTGTAATAGATGAAGAAAAGGTTGAAGTAGTTAATAATTTCATCTTGCTCAGATCCACAGTCAGCATCCTTGTCAGCAGCTGTAAGGAAATCAAAACACAAGTTACATTGAGACAATATGCTGTCCATGACTTTTCCAGAGTGCTAAAGAGCAATGATGTCAGTCTGAAGACTTAAGATGTGCCTAGTACTACCCACTCTTCTCAGTTGCTTGCTGTCTATCTAAGAGCTGGACAGTGACTAAGTTGACAGAAGAAGAATACCTTTGAATTGTGGTGCTGGAGGACAATGTTAGACTTCCAAGAGAACAAATGGCACTGCCCTGGAGAGGATGAAACCAGGTTGCTCCTTGAAGACAAGGATTTTGAAACTTCATCTCACATACTTTGGGAATGATGTCAAGAGGGGCCAGTCCTTGGAGAAGGATATCCTTTTTAGAACAATAAAAAGTCAGCACAAGAGAGGAAGACCCTGGATGAGGTGGATTGACTCAGTGACTGTGGCAAAGGAGTGAGGTGTGTCAGAGACAGGTTGGCACAGGATAGGACAAATTCCGGAGCCAATGTTCATAGGGTCACTATGAGTCGTAATCAACTGGATGGCATAAACAAAAAGAATACTAGATATTTATTTAAAATTTAATATTCTCATCTATAGGGTGTTATACTGCTAACCCAAACGTGCCACCTCCCTGGTGGTTCAAGTCCACTAGTCACTCCTTGGGAGAAAGATGAGCAATCTCTGTCTATGCAGTTGACAGCCTCTGAAAACCTGCTGAAGAGTCTGCTGGGCATGGTTCCAACTCGGTGGCAGTGAGAATGAGTGATCCTGAAAGCAAAACAGCTGCCATCAAGTTGATCACAACTCAGGGTGACCCTCCTTGGGGTTTCCAATGATGTAAATATTTACAGGAGGAGACTGCGCCTCTCCCACCAGCAACTGCCACTGAAGCCTTACAGTTAGTAACCCTGTCCGTAATGTACTACTCACCAGAGCTCCTTAGTATAGGTCACTTAAAAGAATTACTGGTGAAGCAATGGTTAAACATAGCTGCTAATCAAAAGGTTGGCTTTTTGAACCCACCAGCCCCTCCACAGGAGGAAGATGTAGTGCATTGCCTCCTAAATATTTGTAGCCTAGAAAACCCTGTAGGATCGTTCTACTCTATACTATGGAGTTGCATCTATACGAAGACAGTGAGCCAGTTACCATGCTGAACATACAGGAAATAAAGATTAAGAAGACAAAGACTTCCTCAGGAAATTTTCAATCTAATATATATAAGGAGCTCTGGTGGCATCACCCACTGGGAGGTGTGCTGCTCAGCCAAAGGCTGCACATCTCTGTTCTCCCACTCTATCCAGGACAGGCTGCCAGAGGATCTTTGAGAGCGGCCCGGAGTGGTAGACAGGCAAGCACCACCTGCTTCCTCTGGTGTCAGGTTGAGCTTGTTCTGGTCATTTTGTACTTTGGACTAATTCTTTCCTTATATCATTGGTTTTCTTCACTCTTCATTGATAGAGAGGGTGAAACTAAATGATTACACCTTAGGAAGACACTTGCAGGCTTTTACAGTCCCAGTCAATACTTAATAAGTGGTATGTAGAACACTGTCTTTGTGGACTCTCTAAGACTAATTAACCTTGATATTCCTGAGACTGTGGTCTTGAGGTCCTAGAGTCAAAGATGAATTCCTCAGAGAAAGCTTTTCTGGTGACATAATTATGATGGGTTTGAAGGAAGTAATGTGAGTGGGAAATAAAAAATATGGTACTAAAATATTTTAATCAAAACAGTTAATATAACATTCTGATACTTAAATGATTACATTTCATTTGGCTAAATGGAATGCTTTGATTTCTCTATTGACAAAACTAGAGGTGGTTTTTATATTTTCAAAAGTGAAGTTTTAAAATTCTTACCAATACATGATAAGAGGCTATGCTGCAATCAATCCCAAAAGCTTGCAGTTCAAATCCACCAGCTGCTCTATGGGAATACATTGGACAGTCTTCTGCTGTACAGTTTACTGCCTTTGAAAAACTGGAGAGTTAGCTATGAGTTGGTTCCAACTCAGCAGCACAAACACCATCAATATGACCTCTTTAAATATTTGTGAAGTAAATTGAAGAATGGTAGTATTAAAATTATTCTACAAATTTAAATAAGACCTTTCATTTGTATATTTTCCAGTAGCCCTCTAACTACTAAAAAATAATCCATTATTAGCACCACAAAAAGGTAAACAACCCAGTTGAAAAATGGACACAGGATATGAACAGACACTTCACCAGAGAAGACATTCAGATGGCACACAAACACGTGAAGACATCCCTAGCTCTAAGAGAGATGCAAATCAAAACAACGATCTTACCCCTGTAAAATTAGCAGAATTTAACAGAACAGCAAGCAACAAATGCTGGCAACATTGTGGAGAAACTGGAACCCTTATTCACTGTTGATGGGATGTAAAATGGTGCAGCCACTATGCAAGGCAGTATGGCAGATTCTCAAAAAGTTGCAAATAGAAATACCATTTGACTCAGCAATTCCACTACTTGGAATATACCCCAGTGAAACCATAACCACTGCCAAGCAGATACATGCACACCCATGTTTATCAGGTCTTTGTTCACAATAGCAAAAAGTTGGAAACAACCTAAGTGCTTATCAATAAACGAATAGATGGAGAAGCTCTGGTATAGTCACACAATGTAATACTACACTGCATTGAAAAACAAGGAACTCATGTAATACTATTTAAAATGGGTAACCCTGGAGGACATTATGCTGAGTGAAACATCTCAGTCACAAAAGGACAAATACTACATAGTGCCACAGTTGTAAAGTGCAACTGACATCGAGGTTGGGGAGAGATTGAGAAAGATCGGATAAATAAAGTATACTGCATTGAAACAGATGAGGGAGAGAACTGTTTAAAGAGGATATATGATTAGGTATTATTGTCATGACAGAAGTCCAGAACGAAGGCTGCATAGTGGAATGGACTTGGGGGGAGGGATTGTATAACAATGAAAGAATTTTTCTTTTACTTTTAAAAGAGAAGAGAGAACTGGTCGGGGGAAGAGTAGGCACAAAGTGCAACAATGAATGAATGGAAATCCAAAGTCTTGTCAATTTTCATTAAAATTAATAAATAGTTATTAACTGCTGAATATATGTATGGCAGAGTATGAAAATTATTGAACAATATCATTAATGTCACATGCAAGCAAGATTCTGCTGAAGATTATCCAAAATGACTAGAACAGCACATCAACAGAGAACTGCCAGAAGTGCAAACTGGGTTTAGAAGAGGCTGTGGTATTAGGGATATTGTAGCTAATATTAGATAGATCTTGGCTAAAAACAGTGAATACCAAAGTAATGTCTATCTGTGTTTTATTGACTATGCAAAGGCATTTGAGTGTGTGGACCACAACAAACTGTGGCTAACTCTGAGAAGAATGGAATCCCGGAACACTTGATCATGCTTATACTTGAAACCAGAAGATAGTTGTCAGAACAGAGCAAGGAAAAACTGCATGGTTCAAAATTGAGAAGGGTGTACTCCAGGGGTGTGTTCTATCTCCATACCTTTCAACCTATAAGCAGAACAGATTATCCAGAAGGCTGCACTCTGAGGAGAAATGTGGCATCAGGATTGGAGGAAGACTCATCAACAATCGACATTATACAGATGACACAACTCTGCTTGTTGAAACAGAGGAAGACCTGAAGCGCTTGCTGCAGAAGGTCAAGGACTGCAGCTTTCAATATGGATTGAAGCTCAATTATCAAGAAAACAGTTTCTCACCATTGGGTGAATTGCCAGCATCAGGATGGATGGTGAAGAGATTAAGATTGTAAACAGCTTTAGTTTGTTTGGCTCCACAGTCTACACTCTTGGCACCAGCAGCCAGGAAATGAAAAGATGTATTACATTGGGAAAGTCTGCTACCAGAGACTTCTTCATAGTACTAACGAGCAGTGATGTCACTCTGGAGACTAAGGTGCGCCTGATACAGGCCATAGTCTTTGCAATCACTTGCTATGAATCAGAGAACTGGACAATGACCAGGAATGATAGAAGGAGAATTGATGCCTCTGAGACGTGGTATTGAGTATATCCTGGACTGCTAAAAGAATGAACAGGTTCATCCTGAGGGAGGGTTAAACCATGGTGCTCCTTGATGGCAAGGATTCTGAAGCTTCATCTGACATACTTTGGGCGTGTTGCAAGGAGGGACCAGTCTTTGGAGAGGGATGTCATGCTTGGGAGGGTAGAGGGACAGTGCAGGAGAGGAAGACCCTCAATGAGATGGATTGATTCAGTGACTGGGGTGTGTCAGAAACAGTAAGATTGGCACAGGATAGAATAGGGTTTAGGACTGTTTTACTGAGAGTTGCTATGAGTAGCAGGTGACTCGATGGCACATAACACAATCTGTATATTGTTTAATTATATAATGCATGTAAAATTGCAAAATGGCAATTGAAAAGTTTACCTCTTTAACATTTTTTCCTTATTTTCTATTCTGTCCTTAACAGATTGAAGCACAGTTAACAGAATACCACAAATTGGCTAGAAAATTAAAACTTATCCCGAAGGGTGCAGAGAATTCCAGAGGTTATGACTTTGAAATTAAGTTTAATCCTGAAGCTGGTGCCAACTGCCTTGTCAAATATAAGACACAAGTTTATGTAAGTACTTATGACTACTTTAAAAGGTTTTTAGATTATATTATTGATTCATGCAGAAGTAGTTAAAACGCAACATATCCATAACTCAGGATTTATGTAGAAATAAATACAACATTGAAAGTTTTGTCTTGATAGAAATCTTCTCTTGATTTAATCTCATTTTTTAAATTTTAAGACCTTGTTTTTCTCTTTTATCAATCCAACTAGCCAATGAAAAATTACAGCACATCTTATAAAATTCTGTGATACCAGGATTGTAAAGATAAATATGACCGGACCCTTGTTCTCATGTTTCCTCAACTTGCTTTAAGGCTTAACTAAATGCTGTATATGCATGTTTATTAGAAACCATTGTAGGTATGCTAACAAAGTCATTCTTCCCATGGAGCAACACAGACTTGTGGAGTTAATGGTGACACTGGCATGAAACTGTGAAAGATATATAAGGGGACAGTTGACAGTACAGTGTTCCATGCGTAAAGACACTTAATGACATGAAATGTAGTAGAGGCTTAAAGAACACCTCGCAGTCAATGATGTGAAATCTTGATTAATTTTGAAGTATGGCTAAAGTTATAATTTCGAGAAAAACATTTTTAAATTGTTCTATTGAAAACTTATCAACTATTCATAGGCTTTAGTATTTTCAGAACTCCTTAAAAACGTCAATTTTTAAAAACCTCAGTCTTTTAATAAAAGAATGTTGACATAAGTCAGAGACTATTTCTGGTAATAATTTTTTTTTCTTTATTTGTCAAAAGGCTGTGCATATTTTTGCTAGAGAACCATTCATTCATTCAACAACTATTTGAGTGCCTATTGCTCCTTGGAGGCAAGGACGACAAAGCTTTGTCTCATGTACTTTGAACTTGTTGCTAGGGAAAGCTATTCCCTGGAGAGGGATGTCATGCTTGGAAATGTGAGGGGAAGGCTAAGGGAGAGAAAGACCTTCAACCAGGTGAATTGACACAGTGTAGCAATGGGCTCAAGTGTGTGAGAGATTGTGAGGTTGGCACAAGAGAGGACACCTAACAACAATAAGCACTATAAGAGCAGTTGTGTCATTAGGTGCTATTGAATAGAGGAGATTACCTAGCACAGAAAAAAACTATTGCTTAGGGAAGGAGCAAATGTCTGCAATCTCTGGAAATAATCCTCCATCATAATCATGTAGTTGACTGCATGCACAATGGTCTGAAACATTGTGGACCAGAGGGTTTTTCACTGGCTGATTTTCATAAGTAGATCACTAATTAAATAAAATAGAACAATAAAAAATTAGAAATAGCTTCATTATCATACAACCCCTACATGCTACAAATATGTTTGAAAAAAATTAAATCCATTCTTAAATAGGTGAATAGAGCCTGGCCATCTTTAAAAAGAACAGGCCAAAATTAAAACTCATTAAAACCTTTAAAAGACAATGCATAGTGAGATACGGAGTTTACTTCCGAGGCAACCAAAATGTCTTCAACTTAAAGATAATGATTGTATCATGCATACTGTCAAGGTAATAAATGGCATCGAATTGCACATTTTAAAATAGTTTGTTTCATATTAAATACATTTTAACCTAACCATTCCTGTCTATTCATTCTAAAATATGAATTTAATTCTGTTAAAAGTAAAATCAAAAAGGGAGGCAATGAAGTATCATTGAAATTAGTAAAACGGGAAATATGTAAGAAATATCACCAAAGTAGTCTAGGACAAAGGAGGTGGACAGAGCTTAAAAAAAATTTATGTACCTTTTGAAGGAGGGACACTCTCCTCTTGTACCAGTCAGATCTGATTTGGCGATACATACATTAAAAAAAATGATATTTAAAAAATTTTTAGAAAAATTTATGTACCTTTAAAGAAATTTGGTGTTGTTATTAAATACCATTGAGTCAAATAGGATCCATAGTAACTCTGTGAACAACAGATCCCCATACTTCCTGACACATCTATTACAGCAGTCACTGTGTCATTCCACCTGATTGAGGGTCTGTCTTTTTCACAGGGCCCTTCACCTTTCCAAGCACTGCATAATGTAAATGTATACCCCTAAGAACTGGAACATAAAAATACATATGAAACGTTTTTACACTGTTTTTAAAGTAAGATAGTGTGATTTAATAACTTTAATGATAGAGATAAATTCCCAAATTAACTACCAACTTGGGCTAAAAGAGATTCTACATAAAAGTAAACTTGACGTGGTGGTAGTGATCTTAGAGCAGTGGCACAGGACGAGACAGGGCTCCCAACTATGTTCACACTCATGCTGAGTCCTAGTCAGCACAATGACATCAAACAACATATACATGTAACTATTAACTGGTGGTTGAAATTAAAATTTTAATAAGTAAATCTGGAATTTTGCCTGTTTAACAAAAACAGGTTATTAAAGTGTTGTTGTTAGGTGCTGTAGGTCATGGACGACTCATAGTGACTTCATGAACAAAAGCCCTGGATACTTGTATAATTTTCCTGGTTTCTCTAGGTTCATAGTTTCCAGAGGCAAGCTATTTTGGAAGTGGATGCCACTCCTCTTTCCAAGTTTGTTTTAATCACTGAGCTCCACCAAAAACTGTAGCTAATCCTAAATCTTAATAACTTCAACCTTAAATGTGATCGTAACTATCCTAAAACCTTACTTAAGCTTAACCCTAACTGTGTACTTAAAACTCTCACTAAATTTGACATTAAACACTAACCCTAACACTAGAACTGAACCTAAACTTAAACCTAACCCTAACTCAAAACTAAGCCCAAATAAAATGTTAACCTTAAACCTAGTACCTTCTAAACCTAAATCTAACTCAACCGAAATATAAACATTTAAAAAGCTAGGTTTGTGGTTGGTTGGTTTGTTTGCTTGTTTTTAATTTAAGGGAGCTGTGGTGGCTTAGTGGTAAGGACTTATGCTTGGCAACCCAAAGGCACATAGTTTGAATCCACCAGCTGCTCTATTGGAAAAGCGCAACCTCTCCGGTAATTTATTGCCTCTGAAAACCTGCTTTAGGGTCAGCTATGAGTCAGTTCCAACTTGACAGTAAACAGCAACAGCAAAATTTGGAAAAAAGAAAAAAAAAGTTACTCTTTTTGTTGTTGTTGTTGTTGTTGATACTCATTTGTATTAAAAATGTCATGATTTGTCATTTTGCTATTATAATAAAACCACTACTAGCTGCTCCCATCCCATTTGAGGGAGGAATTTTGCAGCTATGGTTCTCATACATAACCCACATTCTTGTGTGTTTTGTAGGTACCACTCAAGGAACTCCTGAACCAAACTGAAGAAGAGATTAATAAAGTTCTACACAAAAAAATGGGCTTAGAAGATACCTTAGAGCAAGTAAGTAATGAGATTAAATCATTCAAAAGAAAAAGCATCATTTTAAAATGTAAAAATTTAATTTGTGGCTTCTTATTGCTAAGGAATGTGGGCTTTTTAATAAAACTATTAAAAAATGAGAGTTCAAATAACCTTCACTTAGAAACACGTAAAGTATTACAAGCACCCTAAATTTCACGGCATTGCTGCAGGGATAGAAAACTAAACTGCACGCTCTGCTTTTTAAATAGAGAGTTACCCCTTATAATTTGAGATCATTTAATGATTCTATTTTTGTACATCTGAGGTGACCATGTTAGAATTTGAGAGCCACTGATGATGGCCTAGTCCAGAGGGAATTGGGCTCTACCACAATGGCCACTTCTTGCTAGTTGTTTGCACCCAGCCACTCAAGCAGAAAGGTGGACAATCTCTTGCTCAAAAACTCACTGGAGGGTCAACTTGATGGAAATGAGAAAGAGAGACCTTAAAATTAACTGTAATAGAATAAGAGGCTTCTTTTCACAAAGTGTTTTGTCCTAGGTCATAAAATCCAGGAAAACTCAAGCCTAAATGCATATAAAAGTTTATTTCCAAAAGGAGTTTTCAGAAAATTCCTGCTTCAGAGCTCTTGAGAAATATCGTTGCCTTTGTCTCAAAAATGAAGTATTATTATACCCAGTATTTCTAGTATTTTGGTTGTAACAAATTCAAAAGATTTTTCTCAAATGTATATGAAGGATAGTTTTATACAATACCAAACAACTAAATGAAAACACTAATTAGCTGTTCACAAACTATTATGTTCTGGTTAACAGAACTTTGATAAATAACAATAGTTATAGGAAGTCTTCAGGCCTTTTGTTCATAGGGTCGCTATGAGTCCTGCTTGACTCTACAGCAATCAACAAAAACAACAACCATGATAAAATGGTTCACAACTTAAGGAATGTTGTCAGTGTCAATGAATTATTCATGTGAAAGTAGCATGGATGCTAAGGTTTTATCTTTATTAACGCTAGCATTTAAATGAATTTGAAAGACAGTATAGAAAATAGTGATGGCAAGCACAAAGCAAGATATTACCCCCCAAAGGGTGACACAGTATCGATGGATTTCCTGAAGCCAGAAAGTCTAATTGAACTTTCTGACACAGAATTTAAAAGAACAATGATTGAATATTTTCAATGGATGAAAGACAAACTTGAAGAATTACAGGATACTACAAGCAAAAACCAGGAGGAGCTAAAAAAAAAAAACAGTCCAGGACAATGCAGAGAAAAGAAACGAGGCATTAGCGCCACTGGAGAAACCAGAAACCATTATCCAAAAAATGAGGTCCAATGTTTCAGATGCTGTCAACATGATGGAGGGACACATGAGCAGAGTTGAAGAGATGGAACAAAGAACCAGTGAAATAGAAGACAAAATTGTCACACTGATTTGCTAGAGCAAAAAGCAGACTCAAAAAGGAAGGAAAAAGAAGAAAACCTAAGAATAATGTGGGACACCATCAAGACAAATAACATGTGCATCATTGGAATCCCAGAAAAGGAAGAAGCAAGTAAAGGCACTGAAAAAGTTGTGGAAGAATTAC